CAAAACAAGAAAAAGTAGATCAGTTTGCTTCAGTCTTCACAGTGACACCAAATGCCAGAGAGCAATAAGTCAGTGGTTCCAGATTTCTCAGAAAAGTAAGAATTAAGACTAAACTTTGATACCAAACTAAAGCTTCGATAATTATGGTTCATAATCACAAATAATAAAGAAATCACTGGCGATAACCTTAATCTTGATGGTAAAACAAGAGGGAAAAGGGATTCAGAAAGAAATGTCATCAATTTTCCCATCTTTCGTAGCAAAAATTCAAAAGATGCTATTTTGAAGTTAAATTCGTTAAAACAAAAAATTACCAGAACTCAAAGGGTTGTTTTTTTTTTTTTTTTAACTGAAGCATAGTTGACATACAATGTTATATTAGTTTCAGGCATACCACAGAGTGATTCGACAATTCCTTAACTGATTGCTCACCACAAAAAGCAGAGTCACCATTTGTCACTACACAATGTTATTAGAATATTACTGACTATATTCTCTATGCTATACTTTTCATCTCTGGGACTTACATATTTTATCACTGAAAGTTTGTACCTCTTAATGCTCTTCATCTATTTCACCCATCCTCCCAGACACCTTCCCTCTGGCAAACACCAGTTTGTTCTCTATATTTAAGAGTCTTTTTGTTTGTCAAGAAGTAGCATCACACTGGTAAAATGACATTAATTTGAAATTAATAAATTCCTTCAGTTTAAATTCACTTTCTATTTCTTCCATTATATATTGGAAGCAAAATGAAAAATAGCTCATTAGAAATACAAAGTATAAATATGATATTTTCTGTAAAACCATCTCTATTTACTTGTACATACACACACAGAGATGTTGTAAATAATGTTCACCAAATGTTAAAAGTTATGAGACGGGGTGGTGATGGTGCATGCTTTAATGTTTTAAAAATGAGCAATACATCATCTTTTCAAATAATAAAGCCATTATTCTACTTTAATAATTGCATATTTCTCAGATCCCGTATATCATTTTGTTCTCGTTTCCCAAAGAAATTAGACACCCAAAGGTGAAATGACTTGATGGGAGAGTGACCTAATTCAGGATGATATTTTAATAAATATGTGATATACCTACTAGTTTCCATCATTATCAAATCTACTGATTTGGCTCAATACGAGGACGAACTTGTAATATAATTATATATGTCTAACAATAGGATGAATTGTCCCAGGCAGTAGGAAATTCCAAAGAGTACTTAATATAAGGCTGATGTAACCAACTCTTCTAGAAAGTTGTCATACACCAAGCACATGTTAGAGTTAGTGACCTCTGAGGGTGCTTCCAATTCTGAAAATGTTTGACTTTATGATGTGAAGTCATACAACAAAGTCATGAACCTCCCTCATGCTATAAAAATAATAGTATCAGTACCACGCTCACATTTAGAGCTCTATGCTTTTAAATCGTTTTCACGAATATGTCATACTTCCCTTCCCCCAAAACAATTCTTGAAATAGGTAGGACAGGTGTTATTAGTTCCAGTATGCAGTTGAGAAAATTAAAATTCAGAAAAGAAGTCACTGGTCCATGATCACACAGACAGATCATTACAGAGCCAAGACTTGTTTTTCTGGGGTTTTCTGTTTGTTTGTTCTAGTCCATGTTTACCGTCCAAGCAACTACTCTACATAAATGCACAGCAGCCCAGCGCTGACCACGTTTTACTTACATTACCCTGGGGTTTTCCGAGCAACTATGCCTACTTAGTTCAAAATGGAAGAAAGGCTAGGTTGCTGCGTTTCTGTCTATCCTGTGTGAGGAAATAGCCTTGGAACTTCATGGAAAAGAACTTTAAAGCAACCTCACTATATATGCCCATCACTATGCTATAAACGCTTTTTTGGAAATTAAAGCTTTCTCAGCAAAGCTTGCTGTTGTCCTTACGGTTTCCAACTACAAGAAGTAAAAGTCATCCACTGCTGATGCTAGATGGTTTAAGCAGCTGTTCATCAGAGGTAGTCCCAGAGCAGAAGTTTTAATGTGAACTCCGATAAGCCAGGCTAATGTATATGCCTGCATACGTTTTGGACACCTGCTCTCAACCAGCAGCTGAGAAGCACTTGGTAAACATACCCTGGAGCGGCTGGAAAACAGATGGAGCAAAGCCAGGTTTGGGGAGCCAGGTCCCCAAACAAGCTACTTCATTCACAAGGACAGCAACTGGTGAAATACATTCGGGAGCATATATGCCATATTTTATGCCAATATTTGGGAAGAGAAAATAATGGAGGATGGGCTCTTTTCTGAATTTATTTGATGTTTTCTAATGGCAGAACGTAAAGGGACAAAATCAAGTGCAGTGAGATTGAATAAAAGAACTTAAAACTTGACTAAAGGAAAGGACTTAATGCAAATATAGCTCTTTTCAAAGAGAAGATGAAGACAGCTCCCAGAAGTGAGACTCTTGGTGTGGCCGCAAAAGGAATTCTGCAAATGCTATTTAGGCCATTTAAACATTCGAACCTAAGCAGAAAGGCACAGCATGATATTCTGTGGCTCTTGGCAAGATTTTATCACCAGTGGCAAACTGAAAACGTACTAAATAGTTTTAAAAGCAATATTCAAATGTCTTTTCAATTATGTAGACAGTGGGAATGTTGCTTCCACTGCGGACATTTTAAAACTTCATCTTAATAGTGACCTTGTCAATACACTTAAAATATAGAAAAGATAAATTTTCAGGCTCTGCAATTTTTTCCCTGAATCAGACATTGTTAAAACCAACAGCATCTGATTCGAGCAGGCTTAAAAAGAAGCACCAATGTATTCTCTGTTCTAAGGCATCTATAGCTGAAAATACAGACCAAAAATATGAAAAACAACAATAAGAAAAAAATAATTCTTCGGGCCAAACACATTAAGTGAAATAGTCACTGCTCCTTCCTCCATACAGACTTCTGAGACTTTTATAAGCTAGGGGGCACAATCATTTAAAATGAATCACATATATTATAGTCAATCAAGATAATATTTTCAGAGTTTTTCCTCAGGGTAAGTAGTAACACAATGATTCTCTTTGCCATTATCTTCAGTTGTCATAAAATTAGTTACAGAACAATGACACTGTCAAAATGAATAAACTCACAAAGTTAATACTGATCCACTCAAACATAAAAATTTTAATAACAACTGAATGAAAACATAAAGTAATAATACCAACATCATATATAAGGGCTAAACATATTTTGCATGATAATGAGTGAAGGTTTCCATATTTACATAGGGACAAGCCAGGAAAATTTAAATTTATTACCTCTGCCTTAGGGAGTCCATAATAGTTTAACTTCACTTTATGAATGAAATAATCAGTGGTGTGCTGGTGCTAGCTCATCCCCAGCTCGTGAGTGCCAACTGTTAAATCTTAAGGATCCCTGCAAGCTAGGTGTTAAATCACTGAAACCAACCATGATGAGAGTATTTACACCATGGGAATTGACAAGCATTACAGATTGGACCTCCCCTCCCCACCACCCAAAGCCAGTTTAATAGCACCTCACTGATCTACATAAAAATAAACAGTATAGGGGTACCTGGGTGGCTCAGTCGGTTAAGCTCGGGGCATGATCCCAGGGACCTGGAACTGAGTCCCGCATCGGGCTCCCTGCTCAGCAGGGTGCCTAATTTCTCCCTCTGCCCCTTCCCATGCTAGTGCATGCTCTCTCTCTTTCTTTCTCACATGCTTTCTTTCCCTCTCAAATAAACAAATACAATCCTAAAAAAAAAAAAAAATACACAGTACAATTAATTTTCACAAAGCAAATTTTCCCACGTAGGCAATACTGGGGTCAAGGAAAAGAACATTACCATACATCCCCAAGTCTCCCTCGTATCATGTGTGAATCAACACTCCCTCTAAAGGTCTGAAAATCTTCCAGATACAAATACTAGAAAGGAGCAATTTTAGCAATGATGAAGGAAGAAGGCAATGTTAAATGAAAGATATAACCTGGTAAGCAACTGTGAAGGTAGGCTGGCAGAAAAAGACACAGCATGATGTACATTTACTTGACAGTAGCAGGAGCAGTGTGGGAAGGAAAATACGAAACAGAAGGTGTTGTGCAGCTACACAAGGGTTATGAGGCACATATCTGCTGACCAGACCTGTTAAGTGTGAAAATCTTAGGAAAGAGTTTAACATATTGTAATTCTCTTTGTATTGCTTATGATTTTTAAAAAATATTTTATTTATTTATTTGACAGAGAGAGACACAGCAAGAGCAGGAACACAAGCAGGGGGAGTGGGAGAGGGAGAATCAGGCCTCTTGCCAAGCAGGACCCTGGGATCACGATCTGAGCCTAAGGCAGACGCTTAACAACAGAGCCACCCAGGCACCCCTGCCTATGATTTTTATATCATAACCAGTAGAGAGTAGGAGAAAAGCTGAAATAAATAACTGCCACACATAAAGTGATAGCCAGCATTTGATTACTGTTGAAATTCACAAGATTTTTTTCCCCTCTAATTTAGAGGGGTACCTGTCTGTGAAAAACCAAAGTGAAAACCCCTTCATAGTCATCCCGCTCCTCTGAGGAAAGATGACACAGCTGGAGCAAAGAAGACAGCATGTGACAGCAACCCTGTGCCATGTGGTACTGGTATCAGGATTATGCTTGTAGGAACTAACATATATGTACACAAAATCTGGCTTCTTTTGTTTTTCTCTGTCCCAGTGATCAGTTGCTACCAGTGGTCTTCCAGTTCTCAATATTCATCAACAAGCTGATTCTTTAATTCCAGCTTGAGTTCTAGAAACTGATGACAGCTAAACTTGCACAAAAAAGGGTTCCTTCCTTATAAATCTCTTCATATTTAAGGTTTAAAAATTAAAAATTACACTTTACAGATAGATGTATGTATCAAAGTATTGACCTCTGTCCCATACTCAGACACATAAGTGCTCTAATAACAGCCCCAAAGTAATGTTCAACCTAAGATTTTTCACAGTAGTTATAAAATTTGACTAACCAACCTTTATCGTTTTCCTCTTCATATGGATATTCATTCATCCATTTGTCTCTAGAGTCACATTGATCCTGCAAGAAACACACACAAAAACAAATAATGAGAAAAAGTTCCCCATGTTGATGACATTCTTCCATTGGGGGTGAACAACTTAATTCTGCAATTCTTTAGGCTCTTGATTAGTAGAATGACATAATAAACACAATAGCCGAAGAATATTTTTTTCATTAGTTATCTGTTTTTTGCTTGCTCTCTACCAGCCACTAAAGGGCAAAGTGGAGAAATGAGAGAAGAGAAGTATGATCTCCAACTAGGACAGCTCCTGAGCACAAGATAATGCAGATCTGGATAAAGAGAGTCGAGGGAGGGAAGAAAAAGACCAGAGAGACAAAGGCGAGGAGAAATGGCAGAAATTGGTTTCAAAGTAAATTTAATATGTGAAAGTCACAAATATTCCTACTGCAGCACTTGGCTCCCTTATTCTTAGCAACCAAGGGATTTTTAAAGTAATGCTGTTTTCCAGAGGAAATGATCTTTTTTTCCCCCTCTTTACATCTGATACAAATATGCAGCATAATTAATATGAATACTTTTTGGTGCCTCCATGTTGATCAACACCCAAGTAACTTTTTTTTTTAAAGATTTATTTATTTATTTGAGAGACAGAGAAAGAGAGAGCACGTGCGGTGCGGGGGGAGCAGAGGGAGAGAATCCCGCAGCAGACTCCTCACTGAGCGCAGAGCCCACCACCTGGGACTCAACCCCACGACCTTGAGATCATGAGCTGAGCCTCAATAAACCAAGAGTCCAGGAGGATGCTTAACCGACTGAGCCACCCAGGCGCCCCCCACCCCCAAGTAACTTTCAAAAAATTAATTTGATATATGCCCCTTCTCAAAAGCTCCCATATCCCCAGAACCATTTGGATCTCGCCAAATATAATTAAATATTGCTGGATTAGAGAGTTCTGATTACAATAAACCATTTGAAAGTCCTCCTGTTTATTTTCATTCAGCATTATGTAACTTGCTTCAGAATTCCCTTTTCATGAGGCAAATTTTCTTTGGCATTCAGTTAAGCCAGCTTAGTAGGCATAGTTGATTTTCTTTTTTCATTTGGAATTACACTCAAGAGGGGGCATGCCTTGGCGTTCTTAGCAGCACCCACTCTGTGCGGGTGGCTCATGCTGGTGGCTCACCACTGTAGCATTGGGACAAACTTCCTCTGCGTGTGTCTCCATACGTTTGAACAGAAAAAGGGTTCACTCGCTCATAGGGCCATAAATGAAACCTAGCACAAGTCACAAGTTCCATGGGCAGGGGGACTGGCCTTTAATTTTATTCCAGTTTTAATCAATTAACCAATTTCTCCTCTCTCTCTTCCCCTTTGCCCCCTCCTTTCTTCCGCTCCACTTCTCTCTCTATATATGTAATATTTATATATAAAAATGCATACATTTATGTCTCAAAATGCATCTAATACATACTATAGCCTTTACTACTAGAAATGCTACTAGAAAAGCAATATAATATAAATGTAACATTTTAATAATATTTTGGGTGGCTCAGATGGTTAAGTGTCTGCCTTCAGCTCAGGTCATGATCCCAGGGTCCTAGGATCAAGCCCCACATCGGGCTCCCAGCTCAGCAGGAAGTTAGCTTCTCCCTCTGCCTCTCTCCCCTGCTCATGCTCTCTCTCTCTCAGATGAATAAATAAAATCTTAAAAAAAAAACATTTTAATAGTATTTTAATATTACAATGGCAAACTAGAAAACTTCCCGGAAATTCAGTGTAATTATTCTATTTTACATTATGAAACCATTATATGGTATCCCTTGAAAGAATTAAAAAGTCATCTAAAACACCATGTTCTTATCAAACACGTCTTGTCCTTTCTAGTCTTCAAAATATATCTAAATCGATCAGTTCCAACCTAGCAGAATGTACTAGGTACGTCAAAAACTGGCTTCAATCTTACATTCCAATTTTGTAAGGTTCTTTCCCCCCCCCACACACACTTTGATATATCCCGGCCATTTTCACATGATACTCAACTTCCTAATGCTTAATCCAAAATTCACAACCCTCTACTGTAGGGATATATTTACTCCCTAATTTTTGTCTAATAGTTTACGATTTTGTGCTACCATGATAACACTTAAACATCCTTCTGTGTAAATCTTGTATATGCCGGGGCCTCTGCCAGCCTGGATGATGCCTTTGTGCAGGTAGAAAGGACAGCCTCTCTGGGAAGACACAAAGAGACTCCAGTCAGGAGGGAGAGCCTAGCAAGCAGAGCCCGTGGTAGATTTTCACCACCACTCACCCCCCAGCCGGGCACCTTCATCTACTATACTTAGCTGCTCTAAGTCTGCACCTTTAATTACGGCCTTAGAATATAGTTATAGAAGTATAATCACCGGATCAAAATAATAGGAACTTTTTTCTTGATTTTTCAAAATATCTTTTTAAACAGCCTACACCAATTTATACCCCCCACAGAGAAGGAAGCACTGCTAACATAGTGCTTCTTTATTTCCCGAAACATGGCACATTACCTCACACATGGCAGGGGGATCAATAAATGTTTGTCAAATGAGTAAATGAAGCTAGTAATGACAAACGGAAGAAAAACAAAATAAACTCATGTTTCTATCCATCATGCGGATTTTTCTTATCCAAGTAACTAGGGCCTCCATTATAGAATTTGTATTTTTAGATAAAATTAATCTGCTGACTAAAACATTAAATTATGTGAATACCTAACACAACATCCCCCATTTTGACAGCATTTGGGGACTTACGAAGTAGCCTAGTGATATAATTTGTACTGTAAGCAGTTCTGTGACTTGAGTACGTGAACTATTTTAAGATCCATTTGACAATGATGATCAGAGATTAATTTCGTACCCAAGGTAACTAGTTAGATGATATCAGGGTCCTTATAAAACTCCTTAAAGCTCCACATCTGAGCATGGTTCTTTGTGGTTTATCTCTGCAACCACCTACAACTTCAATGTATACCTCTGTATGTTTTACACCTGACAAGAGCCTGGTATAATGCTAACTTTTGTTTTCCGTTCAATTCATGCCCCTCAAAGGATGCGCAAGCTCATCTCTTGCTCTGCAGCTCCCCTCCAGCACCTCATATTTTAAGTAGCGCCAATGAAGACACAGTTTATAGAGCTGAGAAGACCGATTCCTCGTCTCGCCTCTGTCTCCCACTGGCCATTTGACCTGAAACAATTCATTCAACCTCTCTGAGTCCCAATTTCCTTCTCCACAGAAGCAGTGGTAACAGTAATACCTGTTCTATCTACCCCACCTACCCTAACTGAAGTCATGTCTATGCAGCAATCTGGGCTGTCATTCACAAAGGAATTCTCACGCTTTAATCAGTGGCCCAGATATTAAGCAAGAAAACAACAGGGTTTCCCAAAATTGAGGCCACAAAACAGACGAATCTCTACTTTATTCATGCTAAGGGGCCTTTGTGTTCGTTGTTCCCCAAATCCCCATCAAAGTCAAGCCATGATATAAAATAGGAAAACGGCACATTTCCAACAGTTAATATCTCATCAATTTCCTAATTAAAAGGTTACTTAAGTCTGCCAAATAGGTTTGTAAAATTATCCAGTAAATCTTCTCAAAGCACTGAAGTTTTAAAGGCCACTGTCCTCATCAAAAATTCATCGTACATGGTTTTGATGCTTACTTTCCTGGCTCCAAAAATGATTCTCAATTGTCAGGTAAAGAAAAAGCAAAGGATTGGTCACTTATTTCCACACACACACACACACACACACACACACACACACACACGTAAGAAATAAGAAAAAAGGCACGAAATATTACACTTTGGAAAGAAGTTTAGATTGACTTTTAAACAAAAATATTGCTGCCTAGAACCATTAGTAAATACTCATATTTTAATGGTGAGTCTGGAGAAATTGTAGCAATAGAGAATCATCTTCTAAATTCTGTTCCTTTCTAACTCTTGTTTTCTCCCATAAAATTTCCTAAAAGGAATTCTAAGCTTCCTAAAAGGAATTAAAAATTCAAAGACAGTAAGTACCCTGGACAAGAGAACTGACCTCGGCCAGAATGCATGTGGCTGCTACCCACCTTAATGAAGAAGGAGTTACACTTCAGGGTACGGGCACTGTATCATTACCCTGTAGTAACAGGTTGCTGGCTCTTCATCACATTTTAAATGATCCATTATGCTCTCCATCTTTAAAGGTGACTGTTTAATACATTCACCATACTTCAGGACCCATAAGTACACTTGTTGCTAGTTCCTCTGAAAATCCCTTTATGTGTCTTTAAACAGAGACAGAGAAACATCTTTTAAAGGTGTTTATAGACACCTGACTAGTCAGGGTATTCCACTCTCTGCCCAAAGGTAATTTAGTTGCTCTGTTTCAAGTAAATTGAATTCTGGTAATGGTACAGCAATTCCATTTGGAATTCTGTCTTCTAGATTCAGTTTCACAAATCATTGCTTCATTAGTTGTGATCCTGTGTTTTCAAGGGCTGATAAAAAAAAATCAGGTAATAAAGGTTTATATGCATATTCACATAACTTTTAAAGCCGATTAGGGAACCCGACAGGCAGGCTTTGTGAATTTAAGTCATCGATATTATATAACAGATCCATCTTGGCCTTGCTGTGCATCAAGGTTTTTGATATATAAGCTGCCTTTTTTCATTTAAAGTTATTTCTGTTTTATCTGTCGCAGTGAGTTATCTTGGGAACTAAAAATATTTGAAGGTTAATCTAAATGTTTCTGGAGATAAATGCGTATCTAAGTGCTATGTTTTCATAGCTATTTTGACTTAAAATGAAAAGAGACGCTGAAGACACAAAGCAGTGAGCTTGTTGCTAGGTGACAGGTGACACCTACCGCATCTCTTCTGAACTTGTACAGCATGAGACGTCTGACTGCTGAGAAAAGATACACGGATTTCCGTGGCACAAGCATCATTTTCTATAGAGAAGCAAACTAGTCTTCAGATACTCTTTTTTAACATAGGCCATAAGTAGTCAGCAATTTAGGTCTATATGAAT